ATACGACAGTAGGTCTTTTTTACGTTAAGGTCATATTAACACGAGTTTCAGTGGTATTGAGACGTCACAATCCATATCTCAAACAAACAACGTTAAACAGTGGTTGTAATGGCCGCAGTCAGCTTTGTATCTGAGAAAGAAAAATATTTTTAAAAAACTATCGAAGAATTAATTTTCAACATTTAGACATCTGACACATATCGAAACTCGGAAAAGGAAAGTATCGAGGTTTTAAACTGTAATCTGGATTTTTTTTGTTCAATATTATGTTGAATGTGGTTTGTTATTTACCAGGGGCTCATAATATAAAGCTTGCTAAAATGTTGACTTATATAGGTTCATAAGTATGTTTTAAGCACATTCATAGGACCTGTTTGAGTACTACTTAAGTATATATTAAACCGTAACATAAAACGACCTTAGCGAGGCCTTAGCTAAGTCAAACTTAAGTTTGCAATTTTTCTCATGAACCTTGCTAGTTTTTTTCAATTTATATACTTGCATGATAATAAATATTCGGTTATACTTTTTTATTATATAATATTGACGCTTTTTTAAATTTTAGTACGGTCATTATATTTTGTATGAAGGTTCTGTTTAAAATATTCTTAACATTAAAAAAATAAAATCCAAATAAGTACACGTTTACAATATGGCAAGTGTTCAATATATACATGACTTTAGTTTTATCACTCGAGGCGGCGATGTTTTCAATTATCTTTGTTGTTTTCCTTTGTTTGACAAATGTTCACTCCCTTTGTTCTTCTTGTAGACATGGCACAAAAATTGAACGTCTCTTTACATGTTCTTGAAATTGAAAGTATAATAAACAAAAGTACAAAATAATAGGGACATTTTGAATTCTCTTCCATCTCATGTATCAGCGAATGTCAACAGGCCGAGGCTAAAAACTGCTTAATATACATAATGTAATACGTATTTAAGGATCACTCGTCTGTATACATGCAGTTAGTAAAGTATATCTGGGCATCAACGAACAAAAGGGTTTTCACATGTCACCAAATTATCAGAAGTTACCATCCTCTCTCTCCTCTCTCTCTCTCTCTCTCTCTCTCTCTCTCTCTCTCTCTCTAGGGAACACCCAATTCCCATGGCCAAATCCGCGCTTGTTGCGTTCTACATTTAATCTTATCGTCATTCTCTTGTTCCCTTCCAGCAGTCCACATTGTCTAATTCAGAAACAACTTTTCTGTTTTTCAAAATCTATTCTATCTCATATTTTAACAAAGAATTACTGACATATAAATCCATGACTACTATGTTCAATTTTAATAATAATTATTAGTGAATTTAACTTCGGTCCCGCAGATTTTTAAAAGCGTCCGCAAAATAAAATCTTATATCTACATGTATGTCATCCCGATGTTGAGTGTGAGATAGGAATACGTGAATAGTAACATCCCCTCGATGAAAAACTAAAATTCCTTTGTCGCTTTTAAGTAGAAATATTCATTTCATTTTTTTTCATGGATAATATCAAAAAAGAATGTTTAAACGTCGAAATTAACCTTTTAATTATGTTGAATGTGTGTATAAAAAAGTTAAGACATACTTAAGTCACCTTTACCGACCGCCTAAGTTTTGATAAGATTGTCGAATCTAAGCAAGCTTCTAGTTACGATCTTAAGTTTAAGACTGTACTTAAGTATTACATTAGTATGAACTTACACTTAAGTACCCTTTATGTTACGACCCTAAGAAATATTTATATTGACCTTAATTTTGCTTCATTAAATATTTCAGTTTTTAAATGCTATGGAGAAAGTGATCTTGTATTCATCCTTCAAGGGCATTCCTCACCGTCTTCCCCTCTATTAAGATATTCAGGACAAATAGAAAGCTGATAGTCGAGGGTTTGAATCCCACTGTGAGACGTGAGACCGGTCCTTCGGATGAAACCGTATAAACAAATATCCCATGTTGCAGTAAGTGCTGGCACAAAAAAGATAGAACACAATTTGCAGCTATCCACCGGCAAGTGGTGGCTTAAAAAATACGGACGGTAAATAACACACATACTATCTATCAATAAATCAATCGAAACTGATATCGCAATGGGTGAGCTTTTCGTTGTGATAACATGCGAACAAACAATAGCAAACCATACATGTAAATCAAATTCTAAATTTTAAAACTAAGGACGACATGAAGGTATTTTATGAATCCTCAAAATTGTCTTCATAAACAGAACTTTCTGCTGTTCTTATCTCCCTCTTTTGAATCTCATTAGAAACATTTATTTCGAAAGTTATGACCAAGAAGTTAAACATTGCTCTCATTCACAATAAAGAGGTCATTCAAATGAAATGCTTTTAAAATTGTACATGGAAAAACAGTACATGTATCATAACAATCAATATATCATAGTCAGTTTTCTACAAATTACTTGTTCTGGATTGTCATCTGATTTGCAAAGCGCATCAGGTGTTGTCTATAAACACATTTATAACAAAACATATAATATACTGTAAAATCACATATTTTTGAGGGTCCAACTTTTCGTGGTTAGAGAAAAAAAATGGTTCATGGGGAATTCAATTCTTGGTTGAAGAATTCTTCATTAGTAATATATGTGTAAAACTGCATTTTGTGGTGAATATAAGTTCACTGGCTCCTTCATACAATTAAAACCACCAAAATTAACCCCCATGAAAATACGTAATTTCACAGTATTTTCATTATTGTTCATCTCTCCCTCTCCGACGACTTTTAAAACTTCTTACTTATTTTATTACACAAGTTGTTGACAACAGCAATTATATCTGGTGATATAAAAGCTATGGTCGTAAAACTTATCAGAAAGACCCCAACACTTCCAATCTGTACGGCACTGGGACGGGATTCGTAAACACTGATCAAACTTCTGTTATAGGCGCTGGTGTTTAATTTATGAATGGATAGATTCTTCTTCATCTCTTTTATCCATTCTGCAAGCATATCATACGTCATATAGCTTCCCTTTGTAGTATCTAAAATAAGAAAACAAGCCTTATTTAAGCGGCTTTTTTTAGATTTTAAATTAAATGATACTTAAATTGAAAGAAATTATACCGTGTATGTTTATTACATTTACAGAATTCATGAACAACAAATAATTATGAGACCGATACGAATATTTAGGAACTATTTTAATTTGTTGGGATAATTATGTTCATATTGTAAACAAAGTTCTGTTGGTTTTGAAATATTGAAAATTCCATGAACTTGTACGTTGACAACAATCGTGCCTGGGCGAGAGACTTTATGAAGAGGGGTGACCATAAAATTTACGAACATTCGTCTCCCCCGAAAGACTGATGATTTACGCCATGTTCAATATCATTTAGTACGTCCATGTAACTATTTATCTGCCATAACAAAACACTCACATAAACGTAAGTTAAATCCAGGGAAATATATTTTTATTTATAAGATAGATAATATTTATTTAAAGTCAGATTCATGAGATAATAGTATCTTGGCACTGCAAACTGGTATCAGTCCACTTTCCAGACATATGTGCTATTTTATTGTCCGCATTTGTTGGTCTGTATCCATAGCAATATGCAAAGATGGCCACGTCATTGTCAACGAGATAATCAGCGTTTATTATGTTAGGAACTGGGCCGCATGATAACGCTAAAATTATACAATGGGGTAGAGAAAAAACATACTCTTTATCAATAGTTAACTGTTGTCTTTATCATTAAAAGTAAAGTTTGTCATTATTTTTGTGAGTTTGTTGAATTGACGTGCCAACATGTTTCTTGAAACGAGGTTTTGAAGAAAAGATATATATGAAATATTGAATAATAAAATGTATTTTAAAATGCAACTGGCAATATATAATTTGTCTTTGTTCCTACATGCATAAGTCTGGCGAAGTTGTAGGAGATGATTGATTATGCAAAGTGAAAACCCTAATTGAGAGATAATTAAGTGTTCCACCTTAGTCATAAACAATTCAATTCATGTTTTTTTCTGATTATCACAACTCTGTGTCGCTAAATGTTTACTGTGTCGTAGGAGGAAAATTTGAATCGTTACTGTGTCCGCATCTATGTTAAGACCGCCCATAGGAAATACAACTTAAAAAATGATATAAAGTTAATATTATTTTTATTTGCATGAGTTTTTATTTAATGGGAGTTCTAATATTGTATATGCATGTATGGGGTCTCTGGCAAGTTCGGCCAAAGTGACTTCACTTACATCAGCTGTTTGTCGAGTGACCCGTTTAAAATTGGACAAAAAATGTACGTTTACCTTCGCATCGGTGTTTCACATTTTATGTTGTTGTTTTCATATCCTATTCAAAAATGTAAAGGGTTAATCTACAAGAATTGTCAATTATAAGAACATGAGTATCGTGATTTTCTGTACAGAATATTTACATGACTGCAACAATTGTCGTCATAATGAAGTATATTATTATGAATGTGCAGTTTGGGTTTTTTTTAAAACAAATAACTGTTCATTTTCGCGTTATCAAACCACTGAAACCTATTTAGCTACTTTATGTCAATGAAATAACAAATGTGTAATTATTAAAGTTAAAAAAACAAAAACATATCAACTGTCACAGGAAAGTCATTTCCAAAAACATTGAGTTTAACACACATCCCCCCTCCCCAAAAGGAAAAAATAATGAAGTTCTCCTACTATAGCAGGTGAAGTTTGTTTTCTGCCACTCAGATAGTAAGCAGTTTATTGAGTTGTTTCCAGATTTCGGAAGAAAACCCTGACCACAGGAGTACAGAGCAACATTCTTAGAAACCATGACGTCAGCGTTAGGAATGGCGGGTGGATTAAGACAAGATTCTGAAAGGTATAATTATATACATGTAGTGAAATTACTATACTTAGCTGATATTTTTTTTAGATTAATACAGTATATTAATTTATTAACATGATGTACAGATTATGTATACCTTTCTGACTTACAATACTTTACGAATATGATTCGGTGCATATCATTAATACAAACTTTTGTTAAATATCTATAATATTTTAAATTCTAAACAAACGACAACATAAAAAAATTACATTTATGAAATACAATGTACTACTTGTAGAAAATGTATAAAGATATTGATCCTTACTTATACATTTAAAGTCAGTAGTTGGCCAGGTGCTGTTTGTGCACTCGATGATGTCACTTGTATTTGTCATAGCGAAATATCCCGTCAAGCAGTAATATTTTGCTCTATTGTCCTGCACAAGAACTGCTGCATTTTCAACAGCGGGAGGTGATGAGCAAACAACTTCATATTAAAAAAAACACACAAAGAGTTTATCATCTTAATTTATTGAAAATTATTTTTGAACTATTACATATTTTGTATATAAAATTAACAATATACCTTTACAGAACATTGACGTCATAGACCATGTGCCCCCTACACAGTTTATTATTACGTCATCAGAACTTTCCGTGTACCCAGTCTTACAAGCATACAATGCCTTGCTACCATTAGTTACTCCATCATATAGTTTAAATGCATTGTCAATATCGGGAGGGATTGGACAATCTAAAGTGTAACATTAATAACCAAATTTTAAATAAATACTGGTAGAAATGACGTCAAAGTATATATGTCAACGAAATGAACAAAGTATATGGTTGACAATGGTCTATATAATTTGTCTCTGTATTGTAATGGTCAATTAATAGGTTTGGTAAAATAATAAAAGAATAGAATTAAAAAAGTCAAACATTGCAAATGATTTAGCAATTAACCCTTACAATGTTGCGGAGAAGAATTTTACCTGTAGAAACGCATCTTGTCTTTGACCAATCAGGCGAGCATAATTCCGTAATATTACAAGGCGTGCCTACAAAGAATGAACTTGTGTATTATTTGACACTTACCTAGATGTAATTTTTCTTCTTACAATCTGTATGTAGTATCTATATCCAGTAACAGAAAGCTGAATCTTGATTGACAGGAAACTAAATTTTATGTCTAATGCATAAGATTTTTTTTTCTGCAGGGCGTGAAAAGTAAAGAATTTCACATGAAAAAAGTGTCAGGATTTGATTATTTATTTTATAATTCAATTCTTACCTGTTATGTCAATAGCTTTAACGATGACTTCTACAACGTCACTTTCTTGATAACTTTGCCCGTTACCCCACTGTCCACCCACGTAAACCAAATGTCCATTTGTATTTGTCCGGGATGGTCTCCAGAGCAGAACTTCTGTTTCACTGTATCCGTATATTATACCTCCATATGGGTCATTAGAGGTATCAATCATAGCGCTTCCACCAGCATGAAACATGAATCCCTCGTTGCTTGGCGATAATACTTTCATCTGATGGAATTAGGCGGGAAAGAAGTGTATAAAAACATGGAAAAAGGTATATGAGATATTTTAATTGTATTCTTTTTTACCTGTACTGACAATTTCAACTTATAAAGTTTTTTTAAAGATAAAATAAATACCCAAATGCGATTTTTAATAAAGAATTGTTTATCTATTTGCTTTACAATAAATTGATTTTATAGTATTCTATAAGAAACTCAAAATCGTTGTCATTTTGATGAAAAAATACAATATATTTTTTTTTCAATCCTAGAAAAAACTCAACATATTTGGGAAAGAATTTTAAAACGCTACTAAAAACCTATGTTAAACGTTAAAACCACCGTAAAGAATGAATAAGACCTGTTTAACATTGGACTATTTTTTAATGCCTTGCAATTCATACTTACATGAACAGAAACTAATGTGGAATCTAGATTATACACCGAATCCAGGCTCACTCGCTCGACAGAGTTTATGTCGTTCTTATCCATTGTAAATTGTGTTGAGAAATGTTTATTACAGGAGTCCAGTATCCAGGCCTGGATGTACATACTAGCAATATCGCCCCTGAAGCTTTCTGTTCCCCAACCATCTACTGCACAGGCCACATAATCTGGAGAATGTAAAATCTACACTACCCCAGAATGCTTCAATGTAAGATTTAGCTTTTAAAGGGCAATGACTCTTAAGGAGAAGAAATTTTTCTTTTATATTTCAATTTAAACTTAGATTCCCTATTGTGACCCCTTGCTCTCCCGGAAGTCACTATATGAATAATTTTTAATCTACACTACCCAAGAAACATATGTTTCAGCATTTCTGGCCAAGTAGATCTTTCAAAGATTTTTCAATCATTTGATTTCATTTCAATTACATTTCAATCTTAAACTTAGAATACTTATTGTTGCCCTGCCCTACCCCCGTGGGTCATGATTTGAACAATTTAGAACCCAACCTGACACCAAAACAGTCCCAGAAAGAAGTTCCCTAGAGTGCTTTGGGACCGCTCTGGGACTGCTGTGGGACCCATATGGGACTGCTCTAGAAAGAAATGTTTTAATAAGTAAATATTAGTCAGTAGAAATAAACTACAGGTTTATGATAAAATAATATCTTCATGTAGCCTATTATATTATTTAATGTAAAATTACATGTATGTACTGAAAATCTGCATTGGCACAATTTTAAAAAATCATTACAGTAAGATTTCTTTTGATTAAAAAAGCTACACATTTTACAAATACCACGCTAAAAAAGAGTATTCCATTCAACCCTCAACTAAAAGAATTTATTGAATGACTATGAAATAAAATTAATATGCTACAATTCTCCCGTAACATAACTAATGTGAACAATCATTGAGGAATTTATTAATGAATTAGTTTTAACTTTATAAACAAGATATTTAAAAAGTACACTAATTTTACAAATAAACAGTTGAAATACCTGGAATTGTGATTTATTGTGGTATATAGAACGAAAATTTTGTTATAATTACGATTGCTTGATCTATCCTAGTTAATTGGTTTATAAAAAAATATTTTTTAGACACGTATAAAATTACTTATCAAAACGGACTTGTTTCAATACATCTAGCCAAGACGCCGCCCGTGTATAAAATACATTTTGATACATATTATTTATCATTTAAAATAATGCACTCTGAGGAGTAAATTAAACAGAAAACGAGAAACCATATTTAATATTAAAAAATCCTTTTCTTTATACTTTTACACGAAGAATGTTAAAAACTTTTCTCAGACTGGAAAACTTGTAACTATTTCATTGTGAAGCAGTATTAGTCAGGTATATAACGTCACTGATACATCAATGGATTCAACCTGAATAATGGAGCCAATTTTTAAATAAATATTACGTTTGAAGGCGAAAATGAGTTCTCTTTTTTAAAAAAGTAGTTATTTTTTGTTTAATAATTTTTTTTATTGTATCGATTCTAAATATTTCACTAGGAGTTTAAAGGTGTTTTGCAGATTTACCGATGCCACGGGAGATAACTCTTGCATCGCTAAATTTCATTAAAACATCCATATATTATGCCTGAAAACTACAATCAAAAGTGCTTTTCCAACCGATTTTATTTTTTAAACAAAAAGATTAAATATTTCTAGATTTAGTTTGGTGTGAATTAAAGTCCTGTTAAAAAATGTATTAGAAATTATAGTTCTTTGTTTCTAACCTACATTCAATGGTTTATATAAGGGAATTCAAAAACACACAACACAAGGGTATTTTACTAAATAAGCTATCTTCAAACAAATCTTTAATTACATTGTTCCTTTTGGACGACATTGATATTGTTTTAAATAAAATATCAAATATTCCTCACATTCGATACTGCCTGGTTTTTCAGTGGACTGCCTCTATAAATCTTTGTTTGAGAATTGTACTGATTTTACTGGATATTTAGTGAATTAGTTAATGATTTATTGTTCATCTTTAAGTTCTCTTTTTCTTAAATTCCTTGTGCCACTGGACAACCAGTAACTTAGTGCATTTTCCACAGCCAACGTCATTAATATACCCTTTAAGATATTGGAAAATTTCACCACATTCCAATTACCAATAAGGTCACTCGAGCTTTCTGAAAATGAATAGTTGTGAAACCCGGGGGAGACTTATAGAAGCATTTCAGCCTAATGTCCGATTCGAATACGTAATTCTACATTATTCTACCCTTTTCTCTATTTTTTCAGTGTAATTCATACATGTCCGTGGCTACTGGGACTGCTCTCTAGGACCTCTTGGACAGCTTAGAGCTCCCTGGGACCGCTGTGGGACAGCTATAGCAGTCCCCGGGACCGCTCTGGAACTACTTTGTTTCAGTTTGGGTCCGGTCGGTACTGTACACTACCCAGCTTTTCGGGTCCAGTGGTTCACTAGAAGAAGATTTAAAAGTTTCTCATATATTTCAATGTTAAACTTTGACTCCTTAATGTGATCCTAACCTACTCCCGAGGGCCATGATTTGAACAATTTAGAATTTACACTACCCAAAGATGTTTCAATATAAGTTTCAGCTTTTTGGCCAAATAATTCTTGAGATGAAGATTTTTAAAAAAAATTTACCTAAATATTGCAATATAAAAATTAAATCCCCTATAGTGGCTCCGCCCTACCCCAGGGGGTCATGAATTTGATAATTTAGAATTAACACTACCTCAAGATGTTTGTACCAAGTTTGGTAAAAATTGGCCCATTGGTTCTTGAAAAGAAGTTGAAACTGTGAAAACTGTACGGACGGACAACTAGACAGACGGACGGACAAGGAATGATCAGAAAAGCCAACTTGTGCTTTCCCCTCAGGTGAGCTAAAAAAAATAATATCTCGAAACAAGTAACAAACTTAAAAAAAAATAATAAAATGTATGATCAATATTTTTTTTATTTTTTATTAGATCTAATAATTATTGTGATAGAGTGATAACAATGTTCACAAAAAACCTTACCAGACATAGACCAAAGACGAATTTCTTGGTCATTAAATGCAAAAACATTCCCACAGACAGTTTCATAAGTACCAATAATTTGTGAATTGAATGTCACACCTACAATAAAATATACCATAACCATCTTAAATGAATCGTCTTGGTTCTATAATGTAAAATACAAAAAAATTACGAACTGAGGAAAATTAGGCGCGGAATTATTTAATTCGTGTGAGTTCAATGATCGTGATTGAACAAAATTTCGTTGGTTCTTTGAAACTCAAAAATGTTTGTGGGTAGGTTCATGTATATAAAGAAGTTTTTTAAGTTAATAAATATGTAGTAAAAATAGTTGTTCATGGGGATGTGAAATTGTGGTTTAAGGTGGACCATGAAATCGACGATAATTGGCCTCCACGTACATCGATGATTCTACAGAAAGTATGAAGTTACAATTTGGTCAGACTTACCTGCTGCCTCGGACACATAGCCATCGGTCATCTTTAACTGAACAACAACAAAATCGGGGTTTCTACCAAGTCCGTGAGTTATAGTTTTATAACTGTCCCCTGGTTAGAAAAGAATTTCGTTAGTTCAAGTCTTGATTTTTAACATTCCAACTGATGATTATAACGGAAATCAGAAACGTGTAAAAGAAATTTTGACCCAAAAATACTTGATTAAATCATATAAAACTCTACCAAAACGTAATAATCATTTCAAATTCAGAGTAATAATGGGTTCGACTCGAGAAATATGAGAGATTCTATCAGAAACTTGGGATATATTTTCTTCCCTGTAGATTGTGCACAACCAGCTTAGGTCCTTTGCTTTGGGATCTGAGAAGCGCGGAACAACAAGCGATACTCAAAAATGTCTTATTTTATACACGTACATAATATATTCTTAGTGTTTAAAAAAAAAATTATAAATAAAACTTTTTTTTACTTTATTTCCGAAGTATTGTTTAAATTTCGTATAAATGCTTATATATAATTCATGAAAAATTATAAACAAATTTTATGTCTTAGCATAAACTTATCTACTCAACAAAAAAAAAAGAAACGCATAATTTTAACTCATCAAAGAAATTTTGAAAAAGTATATGAAACAACTTTTTTATCATTAAATATATGTGACCTATTTCAAGTACACCATGGGCTTTTAAATCCCAATTGTTGAATTATTTCCCTTGATTAGTAATGTTAATCAAAATAGTGTTTTGCTTGATTTTTTATGAATCAGGCGTCTATTTTCAATGAAATTGTTGATTTAGAGAAACAATAAACACTCATATTAAACACAAATTGTTCGTAAGAGACTGGGAGTAGCTGGTATTCGTGCACGACGTCCGCACATTGGAAATCCACTAGCACTGAGAGGTTGCAAAGGACATATGGATTGGTAAAGACGTATACCTCTAGAATATATAGGCGATGACAATGACATCAACTTAAGGTAGGTCGCGGGTTTGCTTTTGTCATCAATTTTGGTACACAATTTTGACGATTCGAGCGGTTGTTTTGTGCACATTTGATTATGACGTCAGTTACGTCACAAAGGCAACGTCACGTTGTTTCCCGTTTAATTCTCTGCAAATGACTTCTCGTCTGTACGAATTTAAAAGTAGATTTAAAACAAAGTGCATGCTTTTGTACGTAAACCTCGTACATATTTTTTAATAATTAAATTTCAGTCTGAATTCTGGTGTGATTATATGTAATGTCTTAGGACTAATTAAGAGCCATTCTCTGTAATGACTTGAAATTTTATATAGGAGCTGTGGCACGCATAGTCTCAGAATTTCTCCAAACTCTCTATGATAAATGTCATTGATACCCCAAACTGAAATCAGGCGAAAATTGGTTGCTATGTTTGATAGTTACCATGGCAACATGTCTTTAAGTTCGAAAAATGGCATTTTTTAACATGTTTAGAGCCCAATAGTTAACATTTGCGGCAAAGCAAACAATTGGCAATGACTGTTTCCAAAAGTTGAAGGTCAGATGTCTCAAATGCCTGATAAACATGTTTGGTAAATCAACTATTACAAACGTTACTATGGTAACAAAGTATTCAAAAGTAAAAAAAATATTCATTGAATTTTATAAAGTCATACACGTAAAAATAAAAGGCAATGATAGGATGAAATGCGACCAAATAATAGAATAAAAGAGCCTTGAAACATATAACAAGAACAAAATATGATATTTCATTTTGGTTGCCAATGGTTGCCAAGGTTTTTATACCACAGAGAGCCTTCAAAGTAACACTCTGTATGTTTAAATCTGATCCTATCTTTTAAAAAAGCACATTTCCTCATAACTTATGATCAATTTTTAAAGATGTTGGTGTGCTCCTAGTTTTCCCATTTGAAAAAATTCAGATTAGATTCTTTAAATAGAGCGTTGCTATGGAAATAAGCAGAAAATGTATGCTTAAAAACCTGAAAAATATTTTCTTTCCTTGGATACGTACCCTTAAATGTAGATTCCCAAAACTTTTATGATTGATATCTATTAACAGCTTACCTGACTTTTAATTTTGACTATCATCCAATCTCTAAGTGGATGCAAGATGTTGGCACACAGGGTTTAATATTGATATAAAGTTAACAAAATCGAACATTTTTCCTTCTTGGTAACCATAGCAACAGTGTTGTTTTCTTCATCAAATTTTATCAATATATGATATGCAACTTCAGTTCTAACAAATAAGTACTATTCAAGCTGAGTCCTTTAATTTGTTTCTTGATTATATGGCAATTTAATTCTTAATGCAGCGAAAAATAATTCACTTTTAAGCACTGGTACTTTGTTTCCATGGTAACACTGTAAAGTAGCAATTATACCCAATTTTCTTATGGTTTTGGTGTTGCAAGGTCCTAAGGATGCATATTTGCCAGTCTTGAATTTTCATGTTTTTCCTCAAGACAGTAGCATTAACCCAATCTTAGTTACTGGTTTTACATGGTTACACTGTGTTACCATGGCAACCATAAAAGTTATTTATAGAATAATATTGCTTATACTTATATACTTAAGGTCAAACATTTTCATTGTCTTTCTTAAGTCGTTGATTGAGTTTAAGCATGTAACACCTACCATTAGTGAATACGGAGTGTTTTTCAGCATATTTCAGCATTTTAAATGTATTCCAAATGTACCCTTGGTTACCATTTATTTAGAGATATATTCTAAACAGTTTCTTTACAGTATAAGTGACATCAAGGTGTCATGTTTTTGTGAGAATGGTTTGTTTGCTTTTTTTAGTTTTTATTAAGCCACAGTCAAGATTTAAAGCGGCTGAAAATATTGATTTTTCAAACTTTTCCGGCTGTTGCCATAGCAACCAAGACACTTAGCAACAAAATTTTGTTTGATATTTGTTTCTGCTGTCAAGTACTAAGCATGGGTGAAGTTTCATCAAAATCGGTGACCATGCGTGGCAACGAAGTTTAAGTGGTTACAGAGAATTGCTATTAAATACAATACCAAATGAAAGCAATAAATCATATTTGAAGTGTAACTAAACTGCTAAGAGTCAATCAAAATAAATCAGCGTAAAAGTTACGGCTTGCAGATAGAAAGTTAGATCATGAATAAAAAAAATTGCTTTGCGGTGGGATTGTATTGCACACGTTATTTGAAACTCAGGGGAACTTGACTTATACTTTTCGTATACTTTTCAGGATGGAAATTAATCCTCATCACTAAAAACAAGTTATATTTAATTACAAGTATTTTCTTGGTTTTTTTTAAATTATCTTTAGCAATATTGCTTGGTTGTTATGTATTTAAATCTCGTGCATTCGCCTTGTTTTGCTTGCTAATAAATTGTGAATTGCATTTAAAAATCAAATTTATTCAAACACCTGGATTTTAATACTTACAAAACACTGTAAACAATTTACAAGTATAATGTTTTTCTAATATTTTTTACGACAAAAGCTCAATGTATAAAAGCTAAATGCAAGTGTTTCACATTTTGCGTATTGAAATCAGAAAATTCGAAATAAAAAAAATGCTTGAAATTTAGAGCCATATATTAAAGCTTGCGACTAATATAGAAAGAACATTGCAGGTACCTCCCCCCTCCCCCCTACCCACTCATTCTAGAGATTTTATTCCTACCGTTTTCAAATAAAGTGATCGAATTTTTGTTTTATGCCCGAAATCCTATTGACCATGCATTTTCTAAAAATACAGGTACTAATATTTTTCACTCGCGGTGAACATTGTCGCTGCATGTTAATGTCGGTGCACGAGAGGCTTATTTATACCGTTCATTCTGACTTTGTGATCAGAATATGAATTTCACAAAACTAGTGAAAATAAGTTGCTGGTCATCCTAATATGTCTCCGTAATAAATTAATTGATGAATAAAATTAAAGTGTGTATCGATATCACCTTTTAATTCTTGCATATTCTATAGGTCAATATATTTATACTCCTAATGTAAACGTGACTACGTTCAACAAATGACGTTGTAGATATTACTTACGCCATAAACGCCAAATTTTAGCATTTTAAAAGAAAACTTTGAAATTATTTAGCAAAAAATCTAGCGAGAAGACATATTGATTTTTTTATATTAATGGTTTTGATTTTACCTCAATTTGACATTTTGAAATTCCTGAATAATTCGTCTACGTCTTTAAAAAGTTATCCAACCTTTTTAAAAGAAACTATTTTCACAAAATTGGCTTAAAAACGTCATTTTCCCATACATTTCAATGGTAAAGGCGTCAAAAAGTATTTAAAACTATACCGCGTTTACAGTTCTATAACATTAAAACTACTTAGGCAAATTTAATAAAAAATGCAGATGATACGCTTTAAATTCTAAGGAACATTTTATCAAATTTTCAGGATATGTTTTCTCGTAAGAATTTTTATGCAGTAAACCCGCGAATTATTTCCCTTGATTAGTAATGTTAATCAAAATAGTGTTTTGCTTGATTTTTTATGAATCAGGCGTCTATTTTCAATGAAATTGTTGATTTAGAGACACAATAAACACTCATATTAAACACAAATAGTTCGTTAGAGACTGGGAGTAGCTGGTATTCGTGCACGACGTCCGCAAATTGG